GCTATGCAAAGTCGGTACTATAGGCACTCCGAAAAAGACATTCGTGGGGAAGGATAACTTCATCACAGTAATTAGCTAAGTTAACCTCTGTCGAAAATACCGGAATTCGTTCGTCCTTTCATCATAATGACTCCTAATGCATGTAGGTCAGGACCACCCCTAACAGCCTCTTTCTCTGATGTTAATGAGATGAGAGCGTGTTCCTACCTTTCTCCAAATCAATTGCGGCCGAGAATTGTTGGCCAGACTGAAACGACTGTCGACTGAATAAGACGGCATAACTCCACTGATGAGATGTCTAGTCTTTGTGTTACCTACATCACTGAAATCGGTGTCGCCGATGGATTGCTGTCAATGGTATGCAGCCTTCAAAATGGCTGTCAATGGTATGCAACGTTCAGGAATTTTCTTCTTTTCATTGCATGCTTTTGTAGTGCGATTAGAGGGACTATCCGGGAAGTCCAGATTTCAAATCCCGCCAAGGGCATCGTTTTATTTTTCGAAAATCATGGTACATACTACAAGTGGCGTTACAACTCTACTGGTAGATACTACAAGTGTAATAAAATGTGAATGATAATTCGTCAAGTAACTTTGAGTAACATACATTTAAGACAACATAAGGAATTTTTTCTTTCCTCACCACTTACTTTCGTGATTTAATTGTAAGCTCGTCTGCCTAGCCTCAGATGGTTCGGAGTTTAAATGCTGATGAAAGCATCGCTATATTTCATATTTCCTGCTTTAAACATTAATTTTGTCTCGGTATTATTTCATAATTTTACGAATACATTATCCTATGTTCTTTTCCGCATATTCAAAACATCCCGATTATGGGTAACTTTTTCCGTATCCTTAATAGGAGCCATCTAATGAGATTTTATATATTTTAAAAAGAACTTACGGTGAAAATGTTTCAAAGAATTTATGCTTCTATAATACCGCTAAAGAAAGCAAATATAAACTTTAATACGGATTCAGAGAGTATTTAGAAAACACAGTTTGTATTTTACAAGTTCGTAATTATTTCTGTAAGTCGAACATAGAGACTTTAACAAAAAGCCATCGAATCCAGAACTATAGTTTTAAAAACTCAAAAAGGTGTCCAAAGTGTTTTCATGTAGCCAAAATATTCATATCTACGAAGCTACAAAATTCTTCGATAAAGGCGGATACAAAAATTCCTCATAGTTTACCTCTTCACTCAAAAGTTACTTATTTCATACCTTTCTAGTTGTGTTAGACGGAATGCATTTTCAGTATTTGAGTACCCTAAGTGCTTTCACTGAAACAAAGCTTTGTACATGGATTGATAAATGCTAGTTATGAAAATTCATAGCAGAAATCACTTTTTGTCGTAACTTTCATATCTATACAAAGTGCTCAAAACATATCTGTTATTATGTTTAAAACGTTTTTGACCATTTTTAGCGTAGAATTCTGAAAATGACTTTAATATCAGTATATGTTATATATTGTTAATCAGTTTTAGAGATTGTGTCCCCAGAGAAACGTGTTTTCATCAATGGCGTACAGACCTGCTGTTGGACATTTGGAATGTGCCTTTTACCTGCCGTGGCTTACTTATCAAGAAATTGGGTGAACTTAAGTCTCGTCGTTTCCTCAACGGTACCATTTCTTTTGTTTTGTTGGAGGTAAGTTTTCCAGAATGCGGAATTTTAATCGATGAGTTTTGTAATCTGCCTATCAGCGATATTGTGATTCATAGAGATTTATATTTATTCATTCTATTTATAAGAGTACAAGCGATACTATATTATCGATATTATTATAAGCAATATTATATTATGAATATTATTATACGCAATATTATACTGTCTTACATTAGAGTGACTATTCATAAGTTTAACTACATATAAAACGAATATTCATTATAATTTTAATTTATAAGCTTGCTTAGAATCATTTTGATTTAGACAAATGTAAGAATTTTATTATTTCTTTGCGTTGTATATTGCAGTAACCCTTTACCGAGCTCATACTTACATTTTGTGCATACCCATTAACTTAACTGTTTCTGTTTAATTTCTCCAATGCCGGAGGTTCATTCATACGCGGTACGCTGCAGAACATTGGCCGCGTTGCTATAGTTCCACAATCTTTACAACAGACCACTCAAGCGCGCATCTGTCATTTTGGAAGCCATCATTGAATGCTTGCCGGTATCAGATCTGACCAGAATTTGTCAACGATTATAAGGAATTTCAATCGACTGAAAAAAGAAATTAAAGAAATCTTACATAGTGCAAAAGCAGATAACGGCGAATGTTTTTGAGGTATGGAACTAGGAAAAGTCAAAGAACCAACCTAGAGTGACGATGGAGAAATGGACAAGGATTTATTTTTCATTCTCATCAGATTATTATATAACGATGTTATAACACTACTCGAAAAGTAAAAATTACAGTAGTGAAGAAGGTAAAACGCCTCTAAATTGAAGGAAATTAAACTAATTGTTACAAAATGTCACTTGAACTCTCTGGTTTTGCAATGCACATTGATCCAAATGAAGAAAGAACAGGGTACTTTATAAAGAGTATTTGAAATTCTGCTCTCCTTAACCTGAAAATTTTCTAACTTTACATGAGTGATTGTCCCAACAAGTTCCTACTCTTTCAGTTGATATTTGTTTCATTTTTTGTCTTTTCGTGATACAGCTCCTAGAGACAAAGGCTGATTCGTCAGTAGGAGATGGACAAAACGGCTCCTTTAACCTTTCAGCACGCGTGAAAGCAATTATGAGTAAATTTTAGATTACGTTTTGCAGGGTAGTCTTGCCAGCTATCTTAAATTATAATTTTCGAAATATTAAATAAATGTCTTATTATTTTAATTATTGTATCTTTTATTTTGAGTTTTATTTGTGGTATATTGTAGGTCACCCATGTGATCCTAACGGAAAACACGGTTATTTCTTATTTCGAACCTGGGTAATCTTATTGCAGTAGAAGAAAAATTCATTTTAAGTGTTTTGTGACTATACGATAGGTTAACTTAATTTATTTGAACTGGTGATTAGACTTCTTTAGTGTGAGATTATCTTTCCCTGGTGTTTTGAAGAGTTCTGTTTTGTATTTTAAATGGAAGTGTTTTGGGATTTCTCTAAGAGTTGTATCGAAATTTATAAGTGCTCAGGAAATAGCGCGGATATTGTTTTATTTATTATAAGTGCTCAGGAAATAGCGCGGATATTATATTTAGTGAGAGACAGCAGATTGATGATTTCGTTGCGAAGTGCATTTTCACATTTTGTTTTGATAAATAACTGTGTTTCTACCAAAATGATAGGGAGGATATTTTCTTTTCATTCTTTGAATTAAAGAGTTGAGAGTTGATCTGATAAAACTTTATTTTTCTGAGTTGTTGTTTTAAGTGAATTTTGTTAAATTTAAAGAAGTTTAGTATTTATCAAAATGTTAAAGAGTTAGGATAAAAAGTTTAATTTATCCGAGTGTTAGGTTTTTTTTTTTTTTTTTTTTTTTTTTTTTGTCGCAGCACCGAGTCAGTTTAAAAGTTTAATGTAAAAGTCATTTTAACGTTTTTTTCTACGTAACAAACTCGATTACTGGATTTCGCTATTTAGGTGTCCACATTTTTAATATTCGTGAGATAAATTGTATATGAATTTTGAAAAGTAAGTTATTTAATTAACTGTGATTAAACTGTGATTTTATAAAATCATTAAAATAAATGTTTTAAATGAAAGCTTATTTTACAATAACTTTTATTTCTTATTATCCATTCATCTTTTTAGCCTCAATGACATGTTGTCAATCAAATTATCGTATTTTTCAATAATCGTTATTCATTCTTTTACTTTCAACAATTCTCTTACATCAAATGGTTGAAAACCATTAATAATTACTCTATCCAGTCGTAAACAGTAAAATTGTGATACTTATAGTTTCTTCGTTCAACAAAGATTTGTGCGAAAAATCCTTTCATCATTCAATTTGAAAAAAATCTAAATCGAATTTTGAAAAAAAAAAAAAATCGCTACAAAACATTTTATTGTTATTCACAAACAGGATGTGTACAAAATTTGAATTCGAAATTATGTGAGGAAGTAGTTAAAAAGTCACCGAAAATCTTCTGACCATAGCGAAAAACGTCAAGAGCGGCTAAATAGAAGCTTATAAAAAATCTTTATGTTATATTTTTTTCTCATTAAATAATTTATATGATTATTCTGATTATCGAAAGAAGTTTTAGTTAGATTAAATTTTGTCAAATCTTCCAAAATAGGTTTATTCCTGAGTCTCCTCGGTGGCTCGTATCTCGAGGAAAGTGCCATGAAGCAGTTGTTGTCATGAACGAAATAGCGGAAAGGAATGGGAAAAGTGTCGATCCTAATGAACTTCTTGCAAAATTGCAGGTATTCCTTAAAATTAATTGCAAATATTCCTAAAACTTTGAAATTAATTAAAATTTTGATGTCACAAGTCTGAAAAATTTCTTATGATAATAACGTTTTCGAATAAAATAGAATTATTCGCTTCATATATGGTAGTAAGTTAAATGGAAAGGTTGGCGTGCATTTGGTACATATGAAGATGGCAGGGATAATATAGCTGTTCAATATAGGATACCAGGTATGTTCTGTTTTTCAAGCCGAGCTTCTGAGAAAATATTGCCGTTAAATAAATACAAAGCTGTTGTGCTGAGAAATGGGCATATTGCAGACATTGATTCTGATTACTATTGAGGCCACAGTGGTATATTCGGTATGATCGTGATATTGATTTAATCTGCTCTGAAGTCCTATTGGAAGCAGGACGCTTCGGAGAAAACTGTTGTTGGTTTGAAATGCTAAATATCGTGCTTCTTCGAAGACCCAGTGGACAAAGATATATTTCCCAACTGTTTTTCAACGACTTAAGGCATTTTCAACTTACTCAGATTTTGAACTGTCATGGGAATTTTGGAATTTACTTACTTCGTTTCAGTATTGTTACTAGGGGACTATGTGCTTGTGGCGATGCTGTGGAAGATGTGGAACACATCTTGTTACATTGCAGGTTGCATGCGAGTGTCAGAAGTGCATTTTAAGTGAGTTTAAGGCACCTCTGTGTTTGCTGCCCTCATATTTTCTATGATCTTGTTAGGTGCTCCGATTTGTTGTTTGAACTTTTAGTATGATTATTTGTATGGTTGGATTTTAATCTTTTATGTGTCATTGTATTATTTTGCGTATTGTTTATGTTATGTATTGATGTATAATGTATCCTTTGTATCAGTATCACTTTTAAGTATTATTTCATTTGTTATTATCGACCGAACTTTCTTTATTGGCTTTCAAACATTAAGTTGGTTGAGGGACGGCGAAGACGGCATTCAAACCTCAGACTAGCGGCTTACCAAGCAAACTCAGAGGAACCTCTGCTCAGTTGAAGCTCCAGTAATTCACAGCAACCTCAAAGCTCTAAACGCGAGCTTTGAAACCCTAACAAATTTGCGTCTGCGCCGCTCCTCGGTACAAAGAAAGAAATACAATTTGCATAACATCGAACAATATACAATGTATACACATAATTAATATTTATAAAGTAATCAATACAAGTATTGCGTTTCAGATAAATATGAGGACGGTTTATCGTGCTCGACTAATATTAGACGCGTCACACGTGCAACTGAGTTCCTTTTCTTTCTTTCCGTCACAGGGCGTCCGCGATTCCTGCGTTATTTGTCGACAAACGCAACAAGCATGTTGTTTTATTTTAGTCTAACCAAGTGCATAGTTTTCCTTTCTGCTATAAGATTTCGCTGCATGCGGCAGTATTCTTTAACATTAACCACGTAGCAAAATGACAAAAAGATTGAACCCTTTTATTGATGCATATTAATGTATATAACAACACATTTATATTCTACATTATGACTTGAAGTATGTATTGTAGTATTTAATAAATTTTATGTTTGTATGTATCATATATACTTTCTTATTTTGTTGCAGTTTATAAGTATCACTAAGTTTTGTTAAGCTGCATTTTTTTACAACTAGGTGTTAGATAAAAAGCGCAAAGAAGAGAGGATGGTTGGTTTGAAAAATTCAACCATTGATGTATTAACGGTGCCATATGTGAGGAAGTTGTTAATCTTCACGGTAATCTGTTGGTGAGATAATGCATTTATTGAATAATATTGTTTGCAATCCCAATTAACTTAATACCTCAGTTTACAGTTTCAGGGGTTGAATTTTTGATTTATTATTTATTAACAGTTATTTGATAGACATTGCTGAAACTATTTGGTAATAATTTCTCTATTTGTTAATCTATATGGTAGGTAAATGCTAAGAATACTGAAAAGAAAAATAAATGCTGTTTTGGTTAAAAAAGACATCCATTAGCGTTTTGTTGATAGAACAGATTTTTATAGGATTCTATTTGACCAGGAACTATTAACCCTATCTGACATGAATCGGACTATCGATCTCTCTAAATTATCTATTACAAGTCATGAAAAAGGTTTTAATAACTTTTTTTATTAAACAGAAAGTAGAACATAAGAGAACGTTCTTGTTGTTATGAAGCAGCTAAAATAACGATGCAATTTTGATTTGAAACGTGGACTAGTAAACAAAGACCAGACAATTTAAATCTTACTCTAAGCTGGTTCAGTAATTCCAACCGGAGTGTCAAGTCAAATTATCGGCAGCACACAACGCAAAACTGAAAGTTTCAGTTGTCAAAGTTGGCAGAAATTAAACGTAGCATGTACGTGCAGGTTAAATTCACGCTCTGTCTTACAATCCCAAACTTTCCTTTTAAATACTCTCTACCTTACTTACATTCTGCTGAAGCAACGGAAAGGAGAAGTTATAGTAAAGGCTAAGTTATGAAAAACTGGCGAATTTAAATAATAATCTTACAAATAAACATTTTGAGTGCAGTAATTTAATAAAATTTCTTCTTCCCATTCCATTTTATTTCTGTTGAAACATTTCAACAATTTGAAATAGGAGGAAATCTTTTCATGTTGGGAAAGATATTCTTCACTTTCCGCTTAAAGAATTTCTGTCAGATTATTTATTGATTGTCCTATTGTTATATTTGCGGAGACATTTATTGTTTGGAACAAAAAATTTGAAACCAGATATTTTAACACCACATATTTCAACTGCAATTTGAATGTGATAAACATATACACCAAGCGATTACTCATATAGGAATACGATAATTCCATATATTCTCTCTCATTCGAAGGGTGAATGGGGAGAGGCACGAGACACAGTCGTCTAAATCAAGCTGGGGGAGTATTATCATCCACTACAGTTTTAGCTCGGCCTTCAACTGCACAGATTCATTAGGTTTTTCAGCACATAAAATATACAAATTAATTTATACCCTCATACTGCTACTTGAACCACGTTTCTTCTTTCTGCTAGTTGTTACGTTCACGGATGTTTTACTGTTACTAGCTGGACTTAACAGCACACACTGAAATGTAATAATTCATTTTAGACTCATGCATAAATCTTTCAGTGCTGATCACTTTTATCTAAAAATATTTTATTGCTACGGTTCTCGATCTCCATTCGGCTCAGTTCCGTTACTTTAGTAGCGAGCTGTATCTATTAATTTAAAATAACTTTTTTTAACCAACTAAGATATTTAAAATGGTAAAGCAGATAATAATAGGCATAATAAAGAAAGATACTGGATAGGGCAATTTTACTCCTTCATTTAGTGCTTACAAAGTGAAGAATTGTTACTTTTGAAAAATATGTACGTTGAATGTACAAAGTCAATTTTATCTCATTAAATATTATATTCCCTTTGGACATTTATAAATTCATTTAAAAGCATTTCTAATAGAAGGCCTAGAATTAATTTCCAGGACTTCTGTTCAGTATATGTCCTGTATTCTGTTAGATATCAGTTATATCAAGAATTATCTTCCAATCTTCGCAGCTTTTGAGTTTGAAATAGGCAAGAATCACAGAAAATTCAGATTAGGTAAATAGACAGCAGGACAAAAAAATCTATGTGATGCATCTGTATGTTCAAGCATAAAGTTGCTCGACATCGTCTTTATGCACAGTTCTTCAGTTAAAATCAGCATTACTGTATGAGGTTTTACTTCATCTGGAAATGTCAGTTAGTCCAAAAACCCCTAATAGACGTGAGGAGAATTTTCGCTAGGTCTAAAGTAACTCTAAGGTCGTGGAAATGTTTAAAAAACCTTTTTATTTAAACAAAATTTAAAATATAAATGCACTTTCTTGTTTTAAAATATAAGATAGAGCTCGTGGTGATGTACTAAGCAGAAGAGTTAATCTCAAGTAAACATGGAGCAGTAGTCAAGGACTACATAAATAAATTTTAATCTAAAGTGGCTCAAAAATTCTACCGGGCCTAATCAGGTTGAAATGTCAGCAACAATAATTCAGAGCGGAATAATTACAGCTTAACTAGAGCTGGCAGAACTAACATGACGTGGCCACGAAAGGCAGAAACACGCTCTGCCTTACAACATGTATTCCGATAACAGAGTAGGAAGTTGCTTTTCTGGCCTTAAGAAACTTAAAAATTCTAGCTTATAAAGCTTCGAAAGAGCTTTATAATCTAGAAAACAAAATTAAGCCTCTGTGGGCACATAACTTAACTAGAGCTGGATCTATGGGCACATGACTTAACTAGAGCACATGACTTAACTAGAGGATCTAGCAGGTGAAATTCCAGAGAAATGAGGTAAAAGTTTACTCCATTGTGCCAATCCGATGGAAAGCCACGAAAGACAAAAGTCAAGCTATGCAAGAAAACAACTGTCTTACCATCCAAAAACCTCATTTTAAGAACTAACTGAGCAAACTGCATTCTGGTGATGAAACGGAAAGAAGAAATGACAGTAAAGATCCAAATCATGAAAATTATTACAGTAAAGATCCAAATCATAAAAATTAAGTACTAAATAGTACATTTAATTACTAGTTAATTTAAATACTAAATATTAACCGTACGCATTTTATACTAACAACTCTTTCGTGAAGTTCCTAATATTGCATGATAATATGATTCTGAATATTTCTTAATAGTATTGTATCTATATCTAAATAGTGGCTTAACCATTTTCATTATTTTTCATATCTAAGTAGTGTAATGAGGAAAACTGTTAAGTTTCTTTACAATTCTTTCGTTACAATTGCGCAAAAATCATATGCAAAGTGAAAAACATGACGAAGTTTATATATGAAGTATTATTTCTTCCCTTCTTTTTACTTAATCTTTTCCTCTTTGAGACCGAGATCAGATTTTATATATTGTGTTTCGTGCCTTTTTTAAGAAAGATACAAAAACACAAGAATTACAGTTTTCCTAACTGACTAACCTAATTCGTATTCAAAATAAACATTTGCGCTGTGTAAATTTGACCGAACAACTCCTAATTTAAATTTAAAGGTGTATTGGTGAGTGACATGAACAAAGCAAATAAAACATACTATTAATTAATCCAAAGCAAATAAGACTATTTATTTACTAAATGGTATAGTTAATTTCAAATAAACAAGTGATAAGGTCAAAATAAAAAGATATGAAATTAAAATTCTTTTTTTAGTAGCATTTCATCCAATATGTCAAATATTTTTAGCATGATAAAGCTATTATAACCATTTAAAATAAAATTAAAAAAAAAAAAAAAATACCCTCCCCGGGGAGAAAAAAAAAATTCTTAAGAACAATTAACAATTTCTTAGACACACAGAGTACCATTTCTTTTCCTGTTTAATCATTAGTTATTAACACTGGTATTAAAGCACAAATTTCAGATTTCAAAGCAAAATACTTAATTACTGCATATTTTTCATTTACCATAATAATACTAGGATGACCGGGTATAAGTTTGAGTACACATAATCTCTTTTTCTTATCTTAAGCAGAACTCATTCTAATGCAAATTACAAATTACAGCAACAATTAATTGCACACAGCTGGATTTAGATATAAGGTAATTAACTTTAAATTACACAGCTTTAAATTATTCAGTTTTAATATATATACAATGGTGGCCAAAATTGTGGACACTTTTGGAAATTTTTCTGTTTACAAATAGTGGAACCCTGCATTACAAGAACTCACGGAATCGCTTGTCAAGAAGCATCCTTTTGTCGCTTATCAACAAACATCCTCTAAATTGGAGTGTACCGATCTTCTTAAATATCTAGAAGTTAAGAAGGTTCGGTTGTATCTTTGTTTCCTGCATAGCGGATTTCAAGATATCAAATATGCGTAGAGAATACTGAAATTAAATCCGGTTAACGTGCTTGAATGTATTTTAATTATAAATTTAGTATCTTTACTCTTATTTGAAATTCAATGTAACTAAAAATGTAAAAACTAGGCATACAAAGCAAATTTTTAACATCTTTGAAATACTGGAGTATATTCTGTATGGTGTATGAAGGTTCAAAATCCTTCACCATATTTACAATATCAATAAATGTGACTTTAGAAGTAAGCGATTGAACACTAAAACTGTGAATAATCAGAGTATCAACAGGAATTCGAATAACAGCTATCGAGTATCGTTTTTAACATGTATTGATTCATCAATTTTCCAGAAAATATTTATAGAGTTTGTAGAGAGTTTATGTACTTATCGAAAGCAGAAACAAAAAGCAGTAGGATTATCTCCGGGATTCGAACTTCGAATCTCCCAATTCCCAACCGAACATGCATGTAACTACACCAAGAACGAGGAAATAAAGGAGAAAATCCCTTACAGCTTACGAGTTTCAATATGGTGCCGCCCAGATGGTATAGTGGTTAGAGGAGCCTGACTGCGATACCAAAGGGCCCAGGTACGAATTCCAGAGGCATGGATGTAAATTGTCTTTCCCTTCACAGGAGGCAAAGGTGGCCGCCTAGTAGGAGCCTCCATAATAAAATGGCTATCGCTTCTAGCCTTAGTAGCGACCAATGCCGTTATAGGCAATTGCCCGCCATTTGTAAAAAGAAACGTTTCACTATGACAGGCTAATTTTTACCTAATCTCTCTCTTAAATTTACATTCTTGCTCCTACTTATGTATCTCTCATTCACATATTCTACCAGGGTAACATAAGAAATAATATGTAAATTAAAATAAACTTTACAAAAAGACCGCTGTTTTAATTCATCGTAGTACATCGCAGTATATCATTCAAAGCCATTATTAAAATTCTTAGTACATCAAAATGTTAAGACGGTGTGTTCGATTACAAATATAAAATAATTTGCAAAATCAAAATTAAGAGAAAATATTAATAAATGGGTAATCTGTTTTAAAATTGGAAATACGTGGAATATTGTGTTTTCAAAAGCTAAATTCTTTAACTGAAGTAGATACTTGTATTTTCTCAACTGAAAGCGAAATATATTCATCCTTGATAATTATTATATTGCAAGATTTGTTTCATTTCAGGACGGCAAACTACATGATATATTATGGTCTTCAGATGAATGTTTATAATTTAAGCGGAAATGAATTTATAAACTTTTTTCTGTTATCTCTGATGGAAACACCAGGCAACTTGCTTAGTTGGTTTATTATGGAACGTTATGGAAGGAGATTCACTAATACCGCTGGTTTCACGCTTGCAGCTCTTGTCTGTTACTCGTGTATGATAGGTAAGATTTTTGTTAGTTTTGTAACATTAGAAATAGTTTTAAATCTTATTTTTTAAATTTCTGCAGTTGAAAATTGTATTTAGTGCTCACCTCAGCATTTGTAGTATCAAAGCAAATAATACAGTTGTTCTTTAATATATTAAATATAATAATACTTCTAACCAAAACATACATTTATTCAGTTATATTTAAAAAAAAGGGCAGTTTTAATGTTTTTCACCTCTTTAAATTCCTACTATTAGCTCTCACTCTCCTTATATCTTATTCAAATTTTCAATCGTTAATAAAATACGTTTTACTCATCCACTCAAGTTGAAATAAAATTTTTTAAACTTGTATTCGATGACACTTGATGTTAATACACGTCCATTACTACGTATTATTCCTGTTTATCGGAACTATAGATATGCTGATGTTTTAAACATATTATAAGACTTACCAATAATGACCGTTTATTAGGAATCCTCAGGTGCTGTAAAAATTAATTTTATAACAACTTATAGATAATAGTACATGACTGCGATAAATGGGATTGTAATATTTAAAAAAAAATAAGTGGCAACAGTGTGATAGAGTTCTAAAGATTTTTAAAGTGCATGGAATTAAAGAATTGTGATATCGCTCGGTAGCCAAGCGGGCTAAGTCCTGTTCTCTGCTCACCTCATGAGATTGCGAGTTCGATTCCTGGTGGTACTCTTAGTGGATGTATGATTGGAAACATTCTGAGTTATAATATAACAGAGACAGGTCGCTGTTCCTCTTCGCTCTCATTTGTAAGCATGATTTTTCTCACTATGCGACTTTCCAGCTGAAATGTCGACTACTAATTGGGCAGATAGGGCCGAGGTTTCTGAAAACTCCTACTCATTCGAACACAAATAATTTGAGTAATGTAGATAAGACTAAACGCGAAGCACTGTTACGAGCATCTGAAATAAATGACTCGTTACAAGAATTAAAATCGGACCCAAATTTGGCCAATGATAAATCTAAAGCGAAAATAGTCGCTATTTATAAAGAGACGGAATTGCAACAATCCAAAAGTGTCAAGCTTTACTTAAACCTACCGAAGATTTATTAGCGAAATTTGCAAAACCTTTGCCCCCTCTTGATGAAGAAACGCAAAAGCGCCAAAATTATATTATGGAAATCACCAAACTTAACACTCAGTAATCATACAAAAATAAGGATAAGGAATGGCAAACGGTAAAGCCATCAAAACGCGCAAGAAAGCATAGCGGATCGTCAATGGAATCAGTTCCAATTAACACTTGCTCCAGATTTAGCACTTTAAATGGAAATCAAAATCTTGATCAAATGGATGATGAAAGTACTGATGTCACACAAAATAATAGCAACACTCAAAGTAATCCCAACTCACAAAGCTTTAAAAATAAACCACAAAAAACATCGCCAATTATTATAACTAGCGATGTTAACTGGTTACAAATAAGAAAGGAAATTGAAGAAAAGCTCGGAGTTACAAAATTTGAATGTAAGAAAGAAGATGATTTTTTAAAACTTCAGCTTTACACTGCAGGTGGCTTTCGAAGTGTTCAAAAAGATCGAATTCCACACTTTTCTCCTAACATCCAAAAAGAAACATAAAACCGTTATCAAAGGACGGACGCTTGAAATGCCCACCGAAGACGTCAAACAAGAGCTCTTAAACCTTAACATTAAAGTAATAAAATGCCAACAATTGCAGAGAATGAGACATGGATTCCCTACATTTTTGCCTGTATTTTATGTAGAAAGCCCTAGAGGTCCCGACGGAAAGGGAATTCATTAAGGTACACATATCATGGATATGCGTGTCAAAATTGTCGGATTATAGATTTCAGCCCGGTCCTGTGCAATGTTTTAAATGCCAGCGATACGGGTACACACAGAAAGCGTGCCATAATGCCGCTATATGTGTTTGATGTCTCGAGACTCAATAATTTCATGAGTGCCCGATTAAGGGGAAATTTAACATCTCTGCTACTTGTTTTTTCTGTGGAGGATTCCACGCCGCAAGCAGTATTCAGTGCTCCAAAACACCTGGAAATGAAGAAGAAAAACCAAAAGGAAAACCCAGACCTGAATTTAATAATGAATATAAAAGAAGAAAATGAAGAAAATAGAAGAAAATCCTAAATTCCCTCCAATTCCCAGCAACAAAAAATCCTACGCGAACGCAGTCGCTCCGAAAGAAGAAACGAAAATTAAAAATACTCCTGAAAGCATCGACCACTTTAGAAACACGATATTTAAACTTAAAAACCTTTACGAAAAATACGAAAAACTGCAAGATTCAAATGATAAGCTAGCATTTGCATTAGATGCAGTTGAACCTCTATGCAGCGACCATAGCCGAATGGTATTACACTCAGCTCTTGGTTTTAAGTGGTCGCAAGAACGATCCTGATTCGTACTCCTTCATTAAATTATTTGTTGTGGACTTGTATATATTTTCCCTTCATCTTTACTATTTACACAATCATTTTAAAGCATTGTTTTATTTTTACGATGATTTCTGCATTTTTATTACATTTATTTGCATCTCTATTTTATCATGATTTTGTACTTTGATTAGTGTATAGTGATCACATGATACTTCCTAGGACTTTCTCTCCAGTACATTTTTTATGCCTCATCTAACTACTGATAAAAATCAAGAAAACTGCTTTTCCATCCAAGAAAATTTCTTATCCCACGTGCTGCTACCTTCACTGAAGTTTTTCGGAAAATGTAACTTCCAGAGTATTGTACGAACTAATAGATGGCCTTAGGGAATAGGAGATTTATGGAAGTAGAAGGCCATAAAGTCGAAAACTTCTTACAGATGTAATATAGATTCAAAATTGTAGTTTTATAGAATTGGATGAAGCGGATGTAATGTCCATTATGTAGCAAAAATTCTTCCCATATTTCTATGTTAACGTGATGTCAATATATGTTTAAAATATAACTCCCTAAAATTTTCCTTGCTTCACAAATGGAGAATGCGAAAAGAAACTACAACACAAAGCAAACGAAGATTAGAGAAAGAAAAACATAAGCGCCAAGAAAAGCTTGCAATGCTTGACTTAAGTAGGAATTGACTTTAAATATTTTTTATATATTACTTGTTTATAAATGAAACCTGTGAACTTTTCATAAGGTGAAGTCATTGATGATCTCATTATATTACAATTCTTGCGCAATATCATTTTCTGCTGTTAGAAATTCAAGATAATTCAGCGCTTTGTTTCACTTAAACATGATTAAAACACACTTTTACCAATATCAGCTTAAACTCCTCTCTATTGCAGCTATTGATAATATAATACCAAATAATTCATCAGACCGATTGTGCGTTTGGAAATGTACGTTATAAAACAATACGTATCAATATAGGAAGCAAATTTATTCAACGTTGTAGTACTCTTAGAAAGATTTTATTAACTGTTCAACTACCACGAATGTTAGCTTGATGTTAAACCATCGATGTGAACTTCTAGGCATCAATGTCTCATCATAGCTTCTTACTGTACCTCCCGTTGTCATTTGTGTTATGAGTGTGAGGAAGATATTTTCAATTTAAATTGATCGTGAGTTTCTATCCATTTTTTTCCATCGCCATAAAGAAATGATACGTTTACCATATTGAAATGTTCAAATCATTGTCTCTTGGAAGTAAGTAGTTTATTTATAACTGGATGCAAGAAACTGTTTGAAACTGGAGTTCTGGATTTATACGAGCTTCATCACAGTGTTTACAATTGAATATCTGTTTCTTTATTTGAATTCTAATTGGTTTGAATACCTATCTTTTCGGCCGATTTTGAAACGTCGATCATATCTCTTTTAAATCCATTATCCCTTCTAATAGTAGTAATCACTTGAAAACTACTACTACAAGTAATAGTAACTTGAAAATATCACTTAAGAGCTTTCCCACGTATTTTAAACATCCGACTGAGTATGATTTGTAACATGTGGGTGTTTGGAGAGATTTCCTTACGTGATTGTCTCAGAAGAGAAATCATATATTTGTTTTGCTTGGCCAACAGCTTCATCTCGTGTGAAGTCAAAATGAAGCTTATGGTAGATCAATCAGAGTACAGTGAACATAATCTGTTTGAAATATTAGCACTCTCACAGATTTTTCTAGCTTCCCGTCTTAAGATGAAAATTAGTGCACCTGCATTCCGGAGACATTTTAGTACACACCCATTCCGGGGACGGTTTAGTACACACCAATTCCGGGAAGAGAAAAATTTCCGATTCCTTTCGGATCCAGATAAAAGGTAGAAGATAAGTTGGACAACTGCGAACAAAGTTACTGTGTCTTCAGACAATAGGAGCATTCTAAAGCACTAAATTTAAGGAGAAATATCCATATGAAACGTATAGTGTAATGTTACTCAGATCCAAAATCTTGCGCTGAAAGCCCGCGTGTTTTCTGCCATGTAATGTCATATCTCTTAACTATACAGTTATCGAGATTATTCTGTTTCACATATTCTCATAATTATGTTGCCAGTCTTTGTCGAGTAAATTTGTTGGCTCCGTGAAACTTTCTATAGGTCTCAGAGTGCTTTCACTTGTTCCAGCATACGAACAAAATTACTGCGCATTTGATTTAACCCATCAACCTTTGCTTTCATTAGAATAAGAATTTAATTTTGAATAATTTTTCTCAAATATTGAGCTTTTTTCATTTGCCCTGTCGAAATTTTAGGGATTTCAGAAACTCTCCAAACTGCCCATTCTGCAGCTAAGATTTGCCTGCATGTTTGTCGAATAATCTGAATTTTTCAGCTAGTAATCACAATTAGTCATTTGTGGGATTATATTCTATCAAAGTTGGTTAAAATATATTTCATTGTTGTTTATTGTTCTGCTTCTGAAGTCATCTCTCACATCATCTAGTCCATCTATGTAATGTTTTCTTTAATCACGCTGTACTTTTTCATAGGTTCTTAAATGCGCCAGTTTTAACATTTCTAAAGTTTCATTAGATTTATTTTTTCCAATTTCTCGTAGAATTTGATGCTGGTTTATTAGTTAATTTTTGATCGCTCTTTTTAAGGCGAGCGCATGTAAGTATTTTTTATGTTCCTAATAATTAATACCTGCTTTTTATCAACTTGAAATTTATGTGCATACAAATTTAGATGCACTCAACAATGAATATTCACCTGATTCTGAAACGGTTACATCATGCGCCTATTCTGCGAACTAAACTGGCATACCAACTGGGACCTGCGAATTAAACTAGTCTGTTCATGTAATTTCGAAAGAATATGTTCGAATATTATATAAAAGTATCAGCATCACACAAGCTTGCTGCTATTTACTCTGCAGAATGGACAAATTTTTAAGCAGTCTGCATTTTTATAAAAATAACGACGGAGTTTTTATGAATGTACAACTATGATTCAATCAAAGAGAGAAATAAAACAATATGTAGGCAGCTTAAAAAATTTGGAGACTGCTTATTTTATTCAGAACCAAGTGACTCTACTGGTCTTACACCATTTCCAATTTTAAGTCTCAATCCTTTGCAATAAGCTATACCTTTTAGAGTGCTTTATAAACAGTTTAATGAGACTAAGTATATTGATTTAAAATATCCTCTCAGAACTTCGCGCTAGGAGTTTTCCACTACTTCATCTAAAGAGAACCTCCTTCCCCACAATTATGCTTTTAGTATGAAACACGTCACAAAATCTTATGTATCTAATTTTCAGAGGCGATTTAAGTCACTCGTTAGAAGATTTGTGTAGGTATTCCCGTAACTGTTATGCTCATAGTCAAGGAGAAAGAAAAATGACCTAACTAACAGATAGAATTGCTAATTACTATGTTGGGCATAAGAAGGAGGGTTTTTTGTGATTGTAACAAGTGTGTAGTCAGAACGTTTAGTGTTCTTAGCACTATGTAACTTATTTACTATCGCTATTTTTGTGTACTTCTAATTTTTAATGTTGTTGAGTAGAGGCACTATATTTTTGGCATGCTCAAATCTTACGGAGTGATTATCAAGAATTTCTTATGTCCACGAGGTATTTGAATTATTCACAGTGTATTTCAAATGGTGATCAAGTAATCGAAGAGTTCATCATTTATGTTTATCATGCTTTTCATATTTTCATCTCTATACTCATTGCGCAACTGCGGTTTTCACCCAATATTTGAAATAGTCAACTTGCACTCAGTAACTTACTATATATATCACATTATATATATTTATACATATTCATTTGTGTTTGATACATTCACCATTTAATCTCAATCGTGTTGTACTTGGTATGTCCATCAGTTATTTCAAATCATCGCTACGTACTTGATATGGTCTTCGTGTAATGATTTAAGCGTTTAATCAATTTTCGGCAAGAATGGCTGGGTCTAGGCGCTTGAGGATGCCCTTGATTTCTCCCAAATTTTACCGAGATTAATTTTTGACCATGGCCACGTGTGTAATTGCAGCGATTGATTGTTGTCTCTCGTGTCTCTCTTGAGTGTACTTTCAAGATCGATGGCATAAGAGGTTATATCTGCGTGTTTGATTGTGGAAACCTAGTACCTCACATGCTTCGTCCTGTTACTAATTTCAGACTATATATAAGATATTATAATGTTAGAAGATTGTCTTCAATTCTCTGTTGTCAATACCACGGTCGCAATGATGGACATTGTCCTGAAGCAAAGCCACTGTTTCTCTACTTTACATCTCTAGCTATAGAATTAATTGATTTTGTAGTATTGATCGCAAATATATTTAGAAAGTTTTAAAGATATTGCATATTCAAAAATAAACCTTATCTTATTTTCCGTGATTAACAGGTGCCACCGTTATTAACAGTGACAGTCTTGATATGAGGTCAATCAGTTTTCTTACATTTCCCTTTAAAGATATTCAGCCAAAGAATGCAGATTTATCAACATCAGTTGCATTTTTACAATCAGACTCTTTAAATTTAAACAAAAAAGAAAGTTTTCATAAATATTCCTGAGCAACAGTATCATTTCATAAATTTTCTTAATCTTGCTGTTTAGAGGTTTTCCAACGAGAAGCATATAGTGGTGCTCTTACCACCACATAATTGTAAATTTTATACACGCAGAATTCCATAATATTTCTCTCAAGGCTTATTTTCCTTGCATATATAAACATAAGATTATTTCGCTTCTCCTATTGCTTTTCCATCCTTTTCAAAGATAAATTTTGATGGAACTCATTTAACATGTTCATCATATACCATAAAGATCGTGGGGTATAAGATTCTAGATTGCCTGATATTCTTATGAGATTCTTATAACCGTTGATTCAAACATATTTCATAGTACAAACATCATATATTTTTAAAATTAGGTGACACATTCTGGGCTATAAGCTTCAGAATCTAGACTGTCTGATGTACTCAAATATTAATTATATTATTTCAGTAAGTAACAATAACAATAATTTATATAAATGGTATTACTAAAAATCTCATTTTATTTTTCAGAATATTCATACATCGATGTGACGAGTTCTATTTTAGGCAAAATTTTTGCATCAGGAATTTATGCAGCCGCTTATCAATACAGCTCTGAACTATTTCCTACAGTTATCAGATCTTCTGGGATGGGTATGAGTAACACCGTAGGCCTATTAGCCACCCTATATACTCCATATATTGTATATCTGGTAAGTCTTAAACTTGCGTACTGCGAAACAAAATCTTAGCTGGAATGTTCAAACTAATGTATTATTACGTATTTGGCTACCTACAAACATTAGGACCCCATATTAGAAAAAAAAAAAAAAAAAAACATCTTATACAAACTGGTCATATTTGGACTGCTAATACTATTGTAACACATTTGCACGAAATAAAATTGACTCAGTCATTTAATACAGTGTTACTGCTTACTGAGTCATATCACGCCGATGAAGCTTTCTGAAAACGCTTCTATAATATGAATTTTTCCATAGCAATAGCACAGCGGCACACTCCATATTCCGTGCTGGTTTTATGTAAACTTTCAATTTGATTATTTTTTTATCAACCTATAATGCTCTTCTGCATAAACTTACGCAATAGCAACTATTTATTAATATTCATGTAACGCTGTTACAATTTGTCTTTCCCTGATTGCACAAGGTGATGATCTTCTGTAAATCTACGTTTGCTGCCATTATTAACCTGTTTTCATGCCAACAGTTCAACAGAACTCATACGATTCTTATAGCTGTCATATATTACGAGGAGTTACCATATAGATTACACATGGCTAACCACCCGGACGAAGACCAACTAGAGCGGCAGCTAGTCTGAAAATTCAATAGTTAGCTGTCAATACGTTGGAATGTAACCTAGAGAAATTTCTTGCAGATGCCAATGTTTAGATTTCAGAAAGAAAATATAAAATTGAAATATTTTTTATTTGCGTATTATTACGGTTTCTGTACACTGCTTTGATAAATATTTAGTAAATGGAATTAAAATTTTAGTTAAAAAATGTTTGTTAAAAATGTTCCTCTCCTCAGCTACCTTCAGATCGTGCATTTGGCCCCCAATGCAATACGAGTTTAAGACCACTTCTCTACGGTATTGCTTCTCTAAAATTAAAACTTGACTTTTTTTTATTCATATGTAATGTGTCATTGAAGAGTAATTTCCTGTTTAAGATATTTATTTATACATTATTTTAATTTTATTAGTCACGTGTATTCTTGTAAAAGGTACATAAATAGGTATACAAATGAGTTTCTTACTAACAAGTATAAGTTACTTCTTAACAATACGTTTTTTTTTACTCTTAATAGGCGTAGTAATAAAGTTTCTTACTAATTATAACTTTCATTTCTAACTTCGATTATTCTATTATCTGTATCTGATGGACTGATGTGGAAATCCAAATAGTTAATTCATATTTTATACATTTATTTTCAGAGTTCATTCAATAAAAATATTCTTTATATAACTATTGCATTTTGCTCCTTCGTAACTTCTGTTCTGATATCACTCCTGCCAGAGACACTCAAACTTGCCACAAACAATATCTGATGCAGAAGAATTTGGCAAAGATCAAAAGTTCTTTTCCTTCAATAGGTAAGTATACTTAATATTAATCCATAGCAAAATACATATAATTTAATATGGGAATCTTACATTAACTCGGAAATATTTCGTAATAGCTATTCTGTGTATACGAAAGTCTGCATATAACTTTAAGACTGTAATTATTACAGTAAACCTTTTCCGAACGCGGGAGTTATGTCATTAACGCATTGCGAATACAGCAAAATCGCGGTCGTAAATAAACTTTTTATAGAACAAAATGGGTTAGGTATAGTTCAGAATAAAAATGTTGGTATAATTTATACAAACTTAAATATTATTATAATTAAAAGGGAAGAAATGAAACAAATGTTAAATGAAAGGATTTATGTTACTGCTTGAAATGTATATGATACAGCTATTTTTTTAAAGCTAGTTGATTTTTTTTGGGGGGGGGAGCATCTGAAGAAACTCATTAGAAGTTTCGCGTTAAAGAGTGCAAAGTGTTTCGATAACTGTTATAGAATATCCTCTTTATTCTTGTTCGGGTCACGGTAACATTAACTCTAATTCGAGCAACATTACCTGGCTACTTCAAGAGCGATCTCAACATGATACAGAGGCTTTCTTTAGTTGACTGTGCCGGCGGGGCGTCAACCTACCGAACAGCCCGCAGGGACTTTTCATGTTCATCGCCACAATCCATCACACTGAGTGCTGCGCGGGGAGCCGTCACCCCCGGCACAGCGCTTAAATCTACATGAGAGCGTCTCCACAGCGAAGGCAACGGACACGACAGTACAGTACGGTCCCTGCAAAGCCCGCACCTACCATAGGATGGACCTATGGTTCTAGTCCTGTGAAGTCTGATTATATACCCAACAAATCGAAGCTGGCAGGACACAAGTCCAGCCTGTGGTCTGGAAGAACCCCGGGTCTCCTCCCAAAAATGGTCGGTTCTGGAAATTCACACCAGTCGATCCCCTGAGATTGGTTGCTCAGCGTCATTAGAAGTTTACGCGTTAGCCAAGAGCCTGCAAAGTGTTTCGATAACTGTCATAGAATAGGCCTCGAGGATTCTTGACGTTCGGGTCACGGTACCAAAGACCCCTGGCTCAAATCCCGGAGAAGGCATGGCTGTAATTCTTCGTCCATTCATACGAGGTAACGATGGCCCACAGTAAAGTAGCCACAGCTTCTGGCCATAGTAGCGTCCAAGCCTAAGTCTGGCTAAGCCTAAGTTCCCGCCAGTAGAAATGTATACATATTCTGGAGAAATGTAATGTGTGTAAAGCAGATTCCTTCCTGTCAATAACATGCTGCAATTATTTATTTTTTGCATTTTAGAAAGGGATTGATAATTTTATCTATCTTTGCGTGTGTGTTAAAATGTCATCCATAAAGGTCAAGCTTCTTGCGTAATTCATTTCATGTTTTATTTGAGTAAGTAAAGATTATTTTCAGAGATCAATGTAATGTAATCTAAATAATATGGCTGATGTGAGTGATGTTTCCATTTTATTAGATATATTTAAAGATGTACAAACACAAATGTAACTGGAATTCATTTTATGTGTTTATTTATTCGTTCTTTCATTGCAGAGAAAAGTTCTCGGAAGCAAATTCGAATTTGCAGCCTTATTGCGTATCTACTGTGGAAAGCGAACTTTCTGAGACCGCTTTTACGTCTTTTAAAAAGGATATAAACGTAAAGGTTGAGAAGATAATAGCAAAATCTATTGATCGAGACTATGAAAATGAAGGAAGATATTAGGACTCATTACACATTACATTGATATGTTGTAAACTGCTTTTAATAAGTAACGCAGTATGCAACTTTCAATTTAAAAATTTTAGCTAATCATTATAACCACTAAGCAATTTATAAAATGTTAATACGTTGATTTACTTTAATATATTGATTTATTTTTCAGTTATGCTGTGATGTGTATCTAAACGTTTGTGACAATGTTCCCTATTTTGCATGTTTAAACAGTAAACAGAAAAATAATAAAAACTGATTTTTGATATTTGCCTACGTTTCATGTCCAATTCAGCTGTAAACAAAAAGCCTCAAATGCTTAAGTACACACAGCGAACTAAACTAAACTGACGCTCTCTCCTGTCTTATATCGTTTTCCTCCGTCCGTCGAGAAACTTTCAGTGTCTTCCGTTTCTGACAGACAAAGTAAACAGATGTCTTGTTTTGCACCCGCTAAGTCTTTCTGTCCATAGGGGGAAAATTGAAGCTTACGCTGTCTGAAAGGCATACACAATTCTAGTTATAGGGATCGGAGGGACCGAAGTGTTGCCAAATGGGTCGCTAAAGGTTATTTATGGATATTTTACGCGAAATCTGGCGTTAAAAATTAGTCGCCAATTCGGCTAGAAAACCATTTATCAAATTTGTAAATAGCCTTAACTCTGAAACCCATGTTCCTCCGGCGATACTTCATACTCTAGGCCTTTCATGTTACATTATACAAGAGATGCTCCAATTTACATATAATTTCACTAAAGATATTTACATATATACAAAATTCGTAACAATATAAAAGATTAGAACGACACATTTAATAAAGTAGTGACCATTAAGGCAAATTTGATGTATAAACTATTTGGTGATAAAAACTATTTGGCGCATGTTGTCTTGTAACGAAAAGAATTTCAGAATTGTCCTGTTGATGAAATGCAGGATTCTCTGAGAGATTGAAACAAATTTAATGTAATACACAATAGGAGAATTGTAGATTTCATATAAAAAGGACACTTAATTTAAAATTTAAAACAGATAGAAAGTCCGAATGGTTAATATAAAGTTGAAGTTAAACTCTGTTACTCAAATTAGCGAAAGATTTGAAACAAATAATGCATACATAAGAAACTAACTATACCATCATTTCCAATATAATGTTACTTTAAAGTGATAAATTTATCAATTTTTATTGCTCCCTAAAAATTATTAATTTTAATTCAAATCAGAATCGATTTGTAGACATAAATATTTTATTCAGAAACGAAAAAAATACTAGAAAATTCAGAGCAATATATTACCGCATAAAAACATTTGTAAATTGAAGTTATGGTTTAATTGTGCAAAATTATTTTTAGTGAAAATTTTATTACTTGAATCAGGATTTCAATTTAATTTAAGATATGCGAAGAGATAGATTGTTGCCAATATATTCTGCTCTGTGTTCAACGTTTCTCAGGAGAAACTATGTTAAAACTATTTCCTTTTCCACTCGCCTATCACTAAAATATGCTTCAGATATAATATGTTCCAAATTCCTCTGAAACATTTACTTAAATTACGAAAAATGAAATAACCTGCAAACTAGAGATACCATTCTTCATTAATGTTCTATTTTGGACAGACATAAAAAACTCACAAATGATGACTTGACGAGACATTCAGAATTTATGATTTCAGCATGAAACGAATGTTAAGGACGAAACCTTCCATTGATTCATTGATGGACTTGACAACCTTTGAGATCTGACGGCATTTATCGCAGTCATTTGGTTTTGCAGCATGAAAAAGCGCGTCTAATTTTACTTCTCAATAGAGTTGAAAACTGTGTATTTTCTGCAACAGCATAATTAATGATGGATGTAAAAAGCATTTCAATAATTTTGTAGAAAAGTACTTATAATTTGTAGTTTAAAAACAATTCTAACTACAATTTCAAGTGGAATGTTTAGTGCTGCATCTATTGGAACGAATGTATAAAAAGTCTTTATGTATTAGTATTTATTTTTTAAAGATTTAAAACTCTCCTCTTTTAATTTTTATTCCAGAAAATCAAAGGGGGTGAGTTAGAATTTGCCAAAATTCGAAACAGTTCAACATCCTCAAAAAAAATTAGCGTAACATTTTTAAATAAAAAATTACTTTAATAATAATTAAAAACGGTAAACTAATCATACAAATTAGTGAAAAAATTCTGCACTGTTACATAGATATAACGTTAGAAATAACTTTATAATTGAAATGAAAGTGGCAATATTCATTAAAATAATTATTGTTGGATATGTTATAACGAAATATATCCTAATTGCCCTCCCCTTCTTCCTTCCTCTGAAATGTTTCAGTTTTAAATTAGTCCCAAAGGGGCGTTTTTTTTTGTGTGTACCTTTCTTTATTAAAATATCATGTTCCTCGCACTTAAACCATAATCCCTGCAACAGCAAATCGCAAAATAGTTTTAAAACGAGCATATCTTTAGAATTTCCGAAACGCGACTCACGCTAGGTAAAAAATTTTTTTTTGACAAACGGTGCGTGTCGCTTTGAAATCCTTGAGTTATTAATCAAAAATTCGTCCAAGTTTTAAAAAATAGGAAATCGATCATAAAACAAAATTCAAATTTCAATTTGGTCTTCCCCATGCTCATATCGTTGGAGGATACGTATTCAAATCGATGACTCTATGTACCGTGTTTTAATCACAATACGAATATACATACATTTGCCAGATTTGTCATTATTAATTTCTTCAAATAAATGTGGACTCTAACATTTGTGGAAACGTTGAAAAGTGAACCGATATTTAAGTCGACGCCAAATCCAAAACGAAACTAATAGTCCTTCGGATTCAAATCCCTTTGGACTAATAAATAAATAAATAAAAGAAATATTTAAAGTTTTGAAGAATTGGATTTATTGTTAGTTAGATAATAAATAATACTCTAATTAAATTTTAAACATAAATTAAAGATTATACGCTTTGCAACACAGAACGAATTGTGCACTTGCAATTGAGCACGAGAGGTAAAGTACATCTTTTATTTCTTAGAGTGGCAGCACATTTTTTAGATCGCTAAGTTTGCTAATAATCAATATTTAATTGCCTTAGTTCGAATTAAGAAAGAACTTTTCAGAATGGCAGCATTTGGGAATACGTTTTTTACCCAAGTGATAAAATATGCGAAGTGCTGCATCTAGATTGTTTTTTGCTTATTTTTTTATTATTTCCACTGTGTTTAAGTTTTTTTCTTGGGGGGGGGAGTGTATGTTAATACATGTCTAGAGCAAACGACACATCTTCTTTGAAGTTAAAAAAAATACTAGCGAAGCAGAAGTTCTTTTTTAACGTAAATTTGTTAAACACAGCTGCATCATCAAATTTTTGATTTCTTAACTATCAACTCATACTAATTTTTTGGTAAAAGGATTACTTTCAGATACCTGTAAAATAATTTTCTCCACAGGACTTATAAAATTTTTTATCTAAAAATTATTTGAAAGGGTAAATGTAATTACATTCAAAGAACGAAAAATGAATTAATGGAATATGGTGTAATTAACGTTTGAAAAGATATGCAGTATTTTTCCCAAATTTCTTTGCAATTGCCAACTGTATTTGTGTTACAATTATCGTTATTATTAAAAGAAGCATGCAAAAGTTTACACTTAATACACTCCATATAGTTAATGAACAGACTGTGATTTCAAATTTGTAAATTATTTTTCATGCTTCTAATTTGATGATTCGGTTTTAGAAAGAAGTAAATCCTTAATAAAGTGTAATGCCCAGATTCAATCTAAATTTCCCCCATACATCTTTGATGTAATATATGAAAATATATCATCGAATTTGGAAAAGAGATCTCTAATTCTGAAGAAATGATTTCAAATAAAGGTACAACTTGACCTATAAACACTGTTACGTATTTTGTATTCAGTTTGCTATTTTTTATAGAATTTAACTGCGATACCGTTGGACTGACTTCCTATCCCGAGAAGGCCATGGATGTTTATAAAGGATCGGTCTTGCGGTTTGTGCACTCTCTATATATGGCAAACCGAATGCTCTCTTGTGTGGATTAGTGGTAGGGAAGAAGGGAGACCATCAGATCATCCCCTGGGGTGCTGTTCCTCAAAACTAGAGTAGAAATAGAAGTCTAACCTACGTGAGGCTTTGGCAAACATTCTTAAATAAAGTTCATGGACAACACTACAACAACAAAAAAATCTGATGTGTACACCACATGACTTCCTTTTACGGAATATTAAATTATATGCATTTTTTCTTGAATTTCATTGAAACTTATTGGATTGAATTACATCTACTTCGCCGACAGCGCATAAACACAATAGAATAAATGCATTCTTTAAATTCACTCTAGTATTGTTACATAGCGCGCTCTGGCGCTAGATTCGCTAACAGTATTATATCGTTGCACTAACCCATATGCACAAAATAGATATCATTTAAAGAATAGAATTATCTAATCGTTGCCACATGTTATATCAAACATATAAGAAACAGGCACTGGAAGGAGTTTTGTAAACTTAGAGGTTTTTCTCTCTGGGGCAGAGTCTTATGGACTTCAACAGAAAAGGAGGGACTGATGATGTACGACCCCTTCAGTGATTTGATAGAAGGAAGGTAGATATAGCAACATTCATATGAAGAAACCTGCGCTATGATGATGAAATCTTTTCAGATTTTCGACGCTTGTCTGCCATCCGTCATCAACTTTTGGATTAAGATAAAAGCATCAAAAGCCTGAAGAACGAATGGCTTTGACTGTCAGTTTAGCGTATTAAGTTCTTGCATTCAAAATAAAAAAATCTGAGTGTACACCACATGATTCCTTGTATTGGAATATTAAATTATACGCAATTTTTTGCATTTCCATTAAACTTATTGGATTGAATTATTCTACTTCGCCGCAGCGCATAAACCACATAGAGTGATTCTTTAAATTCACTTTGTTTACCATAGCGACACTCTGGCGCTAGGTTCATTAACAGTATTTAGATTTCATTATATTATAAATCAGAAGCACAAAATTAATATCATTTAAAAAATTATCTAATCGTTGCACCATGTTCTATTCAAATACTATAATAAGATAGACGATGCTAAAAGACATTAAGCAATAAAAAAAAAAGAAACGTTTTTCACAGACGATTGAGTATTCTAATCAATTGAATTCAGTTCTCATTCGCGAGAAGGCAAAAATACATAAAAAATCAAATTCTTAAAAATCTTAAAACCTAAAATAAACAT